TTATTCATACACCATAACATCCTCTCCCGCGCCAGCCAATGGCCCAGCCAGGGATGAGGAGAGAGCTTGGGGGGCGGGGGGGGGGGAACCTGGGAGCAGAGAAAGAACTGATGAATCCTCGGGCCCTGCAAGACGCTGCCGCTCACTCATACGCCGCGGGCCCCATTAGCCTCCTGAAAGGTATCAGACACGGAAGTATCTGATGGCACAGAGCTCTGGATGGTACACACACACACACACACACACACACACACACACACACACAGCAGCCTCATTCTCCCCCTACCAACCTCTCTCTGTTCAATGTATAGGGACCATCGAGAGGCTTTTGCATTTTCTGTCAGCATTGATGGGGGAAGCAGCTGAAAAGGCATGGATTTCTGTCCTCGGCAATGCTAAATGTCAAGCTCACATATAGCAAGGACAATTGCCGAAACCCGGGATTGAACCAGGGACCTTCAGATCTTCAGTCTGACGCTCTCCCAACTGAGCTATTTCGGCACAAAACAGAGGTATTTCGGCACAAAAAAGTGAGTTGGAGTAGCACAGACTACATGAAAAGGATAAGCTACAATTTGTAGGGACATCGAGAGGCTTTTGCAACTTCCCTTAACATGGATAGCGAAAGCAGCTGAAAAGGTGTGGATTTCTGTCCTTGGCAATGCTAAATGTCAAGCTCACGTATAGCAAGGACAATTGCCGAAACCCGGGATTGAACCAGGGACCTTCAGATCTTCAGTCTGACGCTCTCCCTGGCGTGAGCTATTTCGGCACAAAACAGAGGTATTTCGGCTCTTAAAAGTGAGTTGGAGTAGCACAGACTACATGAAAAGGATAGGCTACAATTTGTAGGGACCATCGAGAGGCTTTTGCATTTTCTGTCAGCATTGATGGGGGAAGCAGCTGAAAAGGCATGGATTTCTGTCCTCGGCAATGCTAAATGTCAAGCTCACATATAGCAAGTACAATTGCCGAAACCCGGGATTGAACCAGGGACCTTCAGATCTTCAGTCTGACGCTCTCCCAACTGAGCTATTTCGGCACAAAACAGAGGTATTTCGGCACAAAAAAGTGAGTTGGAGTAGCACAGACTCCATGAAAAGGATAAGCTACAATTTGTAGGGACCATCGAGAGGCTTTTGCAATTTCCCTTAACATGGATAGCGAAAGCAGCTGAAAGGCGTGGATTTCTGTCCTCGGCAATGCTAAATGTCAAGCTCACATATAGCAAGGACAATTGCCGAAACCCGGGATTGAACCAGGGACCTTCAGATCTTCAGTCTGACGCTCTCCCAACTGAGCTATTTCGGCACAAAACAGAGGTATTTCGGCACAAAAAAGTGAGTTGGAGTAGCACAGACTCCATGAAAAGGATAAGCTACAATTTGTAGGGACCATCGAGAGGCTTTTGCAACTTCCCTTAACATGGACAGCGAAAGCAGCTGAAAAGGCGTGGATTTCTGTCCTCGGCAATGCTAAATGTCAAGCTCACGTATAGCAAGGACAATTGCCGAAACCCGGGATTGAACAAGGGACCTTCAGATCTTCAGTCTGACGCTCTCCCAACTGAGCTATTTCGGCACAAAACAGAGGTATTTCGGCCCAAAAAAGTGAGTTGGAGTTGCACAGACTACATGAAAAGGATAAGCTACAATTTGTAGGGACCATCGAGAGGCTTTTGCATTTTCTGTCAGCATTGATGGGGGAAGAAGCTCAAAAGGTATGGATTTCTGTCCTCGGCAATGCTAAATGTCAAGCTCACATATAGCAAGGACAATTGCCGAAACCCGGGATTGAACCAGGGACCTTCAGATCTTCAGTCTGACGCTCTCCCAACTGAGCTATTTCGGCACAAAACAGAGGTATTTCGACACAAAAAAGTGAGTTGGAGTATCACAGACTACATGAAAAGGATAAGCTACAATTTGTAGGGACCATCGAGAGGCTTTTGCATTTTCTGTCAGCATTGATGGGGGAAGCAGCTCAAAAGGTATGGATTTCTGTCCTCGGCAATGCTAAATGTCAAGCTCACATATAGCAAGGACAATTGCCGAAACCCGGGATTGAACCAGGGACCTTCAGATCTTCAGTCTGACGCTCTCTCAACTGAGCTATTTCGGCACAAAACAGAGGTATTTCGGCACAAAAAAGTGAGTTGGAGTAGCACAGACTCCATGAAAAGGATAAGCTACAATTTGTAGGGACCATCGAGAGGCTTTTGCAACTTCCCTTAACATGGACAGCGAAAGCAGCTGAAAAGGCGTGGATTTCTGTCCTTGGCAATGCTAAATGTCAAGCTCACGTATAGCAAGGACAATTGCCGAAACCCTGGATTGAACCAGGGACCTTCAGATCTTCAGTCTGACGCTCTCCCAACTGAGCTATTTCGGCACAAAACAGAGGTATTTCGGCACAAAAAAGTGAGTTGGAGTAGCACAGACTCCATGAAAAGGATAAGCTACAATTTGTAGGGACCATCGAGAGGCTTTTGCATTTTCTGTCAGCATTGATGGGGGAAGCAGCTGAAAAGGCATGGATTTCTGTCCTCGGCAATGCTAAATGTCAAGCTCACATATAGCAAGGACAATTGCCGAAACCCGGGATTGAACCAGGGACCTTCAGATCTTCAGTCTGACGCTCTCCCAACTGAGCTATTTCGGCACAAAACAGAGGTATTTCGGCACAAAAAAGTGAGTTGGAGTAGCACAGACTACATGAAAAGGATAAGCTACAATTTGTAGGGACCATCGAGAGGCTTTTGCAACTTCCCTTAACATGGATAGCGAAAGCAGCTGAAAAGGCGTGGATTTCTGTCCTTGGCAATGCTAAATGTCAAGCTCACGTATAGCAAGGACAATTGCCGAAACCCGGGATTGAACCAGGGACCTTCAGATCTTCAGTCTGACGCTCTCCCAACTGAGCTATTTCGGCACAAAACAGAGGTATTTCGGCACAAAAAAGTGAGTTGGAGTAGCACAGACTACATGAAAAGGATAAGCTACAATTTGTAGGGACCATCGAGAGACTTTTGCAACTTCCCTTAACATGGATAGCGAAAGCAGCTGAAAAGGCGTGGATTTCTGTCCTCGGCAATGCTAAATGTAAAGCTCACATATAGCAAGGACAATTGCCGAAACCCGGGATTGAACCAGGGACCTTCAGATCTTCAGTCTGACGCTCTCCCAACTGAGCTATTTCGGCACAAAACAGAGCTATTTCGGCACAAAAAAGTGAGTTGGAGTTGCACAGACTACATGAAAAGGATAAGCTACAATTTGTAGGGACCATCGAGAGGCTTTTGCAACTTACCTTTACATTGGATAGCGAAAGCAGCTGAAAAAGGCGTGGATTTCTGTCCTCGGCAATGCTAAATGTCAAGCTCACATATAGCAAGGACAATTGCCGAAACCCGGGATTGAACCAGGGACCTTCAGATCTTCAGTCTGACGCTCTCCCAACTGAGCTATTTCGGCACAAAACAGAGGTATTTCGGCACAAAAAAGTGAGTTGGAGTAGCACAGACTACATGAAAAGGATAAGCTACAATTTGTAGGGACCATCGAGAGGCTTTTGCAACTTCCCTTAACATGGACAGCGGAAGCAGCTGAAAAGGCATGGATTTCTGTCCTCGGCAATGCTAAATGTCAAGCTCACATATAGCAAGGACAATTGCCGAAACCCGGGATTGAACCAGGGACCTTCAGATCTTCAGTCTGACGCTCTCCCAACTGAGCTATTTCGGCACAAAACAGAGGTATTTCGGCACAAAAAGTGAGTTGGAATAGCACAGGCTACATGAAAAGGATAAGCTACAATTTGTAGGGACCATCGAGAGGCTTTTGCAACTTCCCTTAACATGGATAGCGAAAGCAGCTGAAAAGGCGTGGATTTCTGTCCTCGGCAATGCTAAATGTCAAGCTCACATATAGCAAGGACAATTGCCGAAACCCGGGATTGAACCAGGGACCTTCAGATCTTCAGTCTGACGCTCTCCCAACTGAGCTATTTCGGCACAAAACAGAGGTATTTCGGCACAAAAAAGTGAGTTGGAGTAGCACAGACTACATGAAAAGGATAAGCTACAATTTGTAGGGACCATCGAGAGACTTTTGCAACTTCCCTTAACATGGATAGCGAAAGCAGCTGAAAAGGCGTGGATTTCTGTCCTCGGCAATGCTAAATGTAAAGCTCACATATAGCAAGGACAATTGCCGAAACCCGGGATTGAACCAGGGACCTTCAGATCTTCAGTCTGACGCTCTCCCAACTGAGCTATTTCGGCACAAAACAGAGGTATTTCGGCACAAAAAAGTGAGTTGGAGTAGCACAGACTCCATGAAAAGGATAAGCTACAATTTGTAGGGACCATCGAGAGGCTTTTGCATTTTCTGTCAGCATTGATGGGGGAAGCAGCTGAAAAGGCATGGATTTCTGTCCTCGGCAATGCTAAATGTCAAGCTCACATATAGCAAGGACAATTGCCGAAACCCGGGATTGAACCAGGGACCTTCAGATCTTCAGTCTGACGCTCTCCCAACTGAGCTATTTCGGCACAAAACAGAGGTATTTCGGCACAAAAAAGTGAGTTGGAGTAGCACAGACTACATGAAAAGGATAAGCTACAATTTGTAGGGACCATCGAGAGGCTTTTGCAACTTCCCTTAACATGGACAGCGAAAGCAGCTGAAAAGGCGTGGATTTCTGTCCTTGGCAATGCTAAATGTCAAGCTCACGTATAGCAAGGACAATTGCCGAAACCCTGGATTGAACCAGGGACCTTCAGATCTTCAGTCTGACGCTCTCCCAACTGAGCTATTTCGGCACAAAACAGAGGTATTTCGGCACAAAAAAGTGAGTTGGAGTAGCACAGACTACATGAAAAGGATAAGCTACAATTTGTAGTGACCATCGAGAGGCTTTTGCAACTTCCCTTAACATGGATAGCGAAAGCAGCTCAAAAGGCATGGATTTCTGTCCTTGGCAATGCTAAATGTCAAGCTCACGTATAGCAAGGACAATTGCCGAAACCCGGGATTGAACCAGGGACCTTCAGATCTTCAGTCTGACGCTCTCCCAACTGAGCTATTTCGGCACAAAACAGAGGTATTTCGGCACAAAAAGTGAGTTGGAGTAGCACAGACTACATGAAAAGGATAAGCTACAATTTGTAGGGACCATCGAGAGGCTTTTGCAACTTCCCTTAACATGGATAGCGAAAGCAGCTGAAAAGGCGTGGATTTCTGTCCTTGGCAATGCTAAATGTCAAGCTCACATATAGCACGGACAATTGCCGAAACCCGGGATTGAACCAGAGACCTTCAGATCTTTCGTCTGACGCTCTCCCAACTGAGAGCGTCACTCAGTCACTTTTAATTTTTTTTTACATAAAAAGCGACTGAAAACTCACAAATTGCTGTACCTCGGCAATGCTAAATAATGACCAAATGAAAAACACATTGAAATGATCAAAGAAAACAGTTTGCTGCATGTATCCATTTGATTATCTAAATGTGCACTTTGCATTTCCGACCACTATATAGCGCGTCTCTCTTGGCGCTTGAAGTGAGGGGACATCTGCCACTTACAGCTACATTTGCTTTTAGATGTACTTAATAACACTGAGTCAATTCTTATCGTGCCTCGATCAACTGTTCAGCATGACAAAGAAGCGTTGTTTGAATTACTCCTGAATCATCCTCTGAAAGATCCTGTCATGTGCACTCTCACCCAGTTCAAATATTTGGTTAGAACTATCATACAACAGCTGTGCATGAGGTCATTTGCATTTACTTGGAATGACTGACACACAATTCATTGTTGGGAAAAAACTTGACACTGACCCTTTGAACTCCAACATTTCTGTCCTGAAATATCAACTACTGTGTTAATTTCAGGGTGAAGTTGTTCATATACTTACCAGACTGAAGGTGAGCAGCCTTGGTGCTGTGTATCTGTAGGACAAGTAGATGAAAGCCAGTCTTCCTATTGTGATGGAGGCCCAGAATGTACTGTCCAAACAGCCAGCAGTCTTATGACCCATCAGCAAAGGAGGGGACACTGCGTAGGTGTAGACAAATCCAGCATAGGAGCCCTTCAGCGCAATAAATACAGCAGGAGATTAGTGTAGTGCAGAGGTTTGGATGTCTGATAATGGGGCAGAGAATCAGATTGCAGAAATAGAGTGCTATTTCAACTTGAACCTGAACCTGAATTGTGCCAAATCAGCAGCCGAACTACACAGGCTATCCTTTGGCCATCAATGGCTAACTCCTCTGCCTCTGCGCCCGCAGTACGTCCCGGTATAGTGTTTGTGTTATGTGTGTTGTGTAAGATGGAAGTCTCACTATTATCCCATCAGTGATGAAGAGGATGCCCCCCCCCAGTGCGTGGAGAATGAAGAAAGAAGCAGGACGGTCCCGCAGTTTGGCAAGGTTACAGCAAGCAAACGAACTCCCATGAACTGGACAGACAGGGATACAGAGGTCGGTCATTTTTTTTGAGTATAATCACAAACACGCATATACAGTACGTTTATTATCATTACCATTACTATTGTCTTCGTGGGGGCTTGTGCTGGACAGAGAGTCTCTGACGATAAGACGTGGACTGTTGTCGGAGAAAGGCAGCAGTCTCTCGTGGTACATCAAAGCGAGCACTGCTGCTGGTACTGGGAGCTGCCAGGACACACACACACACATACAAACACACAAACAGACAAAGAGGCTAATTGTTAACCAAGTCACCTCTTCCTGTCGGCTGATTAAAAAATTGTGACCCTCTGCTAAAAATTTGGTTCCAACAGACGAAAGCAGCGGTTATTTTTAACGAAGTGGGAGCTTATCGCTTTAATACAGAGGCCTATAGCGATCTGACATGATGCAAAAAAGAAAAACCAAACCGAAAACAGACAAGACAACCTTTTGTGTGGCTCTGACGGACTGCAGCTTTGTTCAAGGAGACATATACTTCTCAGTTTAAGACCCCTACTTGTATTTAGGGTTTCTACCTTAACACGTTCGTATGCTTCGATGTTAAAAAAAGCATAATTTTTCTCGTATTGTCTGTGTGAGAGCAGTCCCAGACATTGTCCCAAGCGCCACCCCAGCTGAATTTTCCTCGTTGTGTATGGCAGTTTCACCCCGACACGAGTGCGCATACACGGACGCGAGCTCACCCTCACACCAGCGGACTATTTTTTTTGTGTCCCTTTAAAGAAATTACTTTTAGCATTTCTCTCCATTTTGGTAAATGACACACTAAATTGTCTTATGTTGCTGAGGTTTTTGCCTTCCACGCTGGCCTAAAGGTCTAAGGAGCGATCTGAGTTGATCTGATTAGGCTGGAACTTTTAACTGAATGTCAAAACAAATGTTTGTTTTATTTAAAATGTTAAAATGACTGAGTTCGTAACTATTAATCATCATCAAGTTACTTATGAACCTTTGTCATATACCCATTCAAAGGTAATACACATTAGAGGTAAACCTATACTTATACTAGCACGCATTGTACCCATTTATGCCATACATGACACAAGAACTCACATTGATAAGAGCCATGATCCAAAAAGCGTATGACACCCGGGTGACAACTACGCCTTCGGTGTGCAGAGGATACTGGGAGATGTTGCCTATCGTCGCTCCCTGCCCGGCCATGCTGCTGCGGAGGTGCTGTAGATCTGAGGGAGAGGATGAGTTGACGGTCCAGTTGGCACTAAGGACACAGCTGTCCTCTGCCAGAAAAGGATCGGCCACCAGGGGGCTGACCAGAGCTCCCAGGCCGCTGAAGAATTGCAGGGCCTACGGGGCGAGACAATGACATGGATCACTATTTGGACACTGTTTCTTTGGATTTGTACACAACAACAACAATGGATTTGAAATAAAGAAATTGGTATGCTTTTAGTGCAGACATGAGTGCAATTGACACCAGGACACCACACATTTCAGGGTAGCAAGACTATTTAGATTAAATTAGCATAATTTTGAATAGTACATTTTAATAAGTTGTTACAAAATCCTTTGCAAGACTTAAGCCGACAGACCATGGTCAGGATCTGGACCACTAGAAGTTTAGTTTCTTCTCTGGTGAATACAAATTGGGTGAGTGCAGTTAAAACGGAATCACCATTGAAGTCAACCAACTCAACGTGCTATAAAAAGGCTTTGGACATCATTACGCAGAGTTATGTGAACTATTGTTCAGATGAAAACATGGATTAATGCAGGTTTCACTCAGTGTCTTTACTTTGTCATCAAGTCAATGAACCACAAGGAATTGTTATTGCATTGTAGATAGTTATATGTATTGCCCCACGCGCACATACAGTACAGCGCACACACTTGTTAACAGCTATCGCTACCCCCCCCCCCTTCCATCGCTCCCCCCTTCTGACCTGGAGGAACATGGCAGAGTCCTTCTGGTACAGCCTCACCAGCTGGAGGCAGGAAAGCGTGTCAATCACGCCCATGGCTAAGCCAGCAATCGCCATGGCGACAGACAGCAGTAACACATGGTTACACAGAGGTATGACGGCGAACACCAACGAGATGATGAGAGTGCAGCAGAAGAGGGCTAACAGCGAGCGGGGGAGTCTGGGGGAGACAAAAAGAGAAGATGACCCCAAAAGCAGAAGGTAAGTGCTTTTATGTACCTTTTCAGGCAGAGCTTGGTTTGTATGATGATGATGATGATGTTAGTGTTGTAGTCAGTGATTATGTTTTTTCAATACTGTAACTGAAACACGGCTGACTGAAAAAGGGAATTTCCACTTTGTTTTTCTTCCTGCAGTGAAGTGACCTTGATGGTCTGCTGCCCCATTACCACTTAAATACCACACCTCCGCATTATCTTAACCTTGTATTCTCCTTTCTTGCCAACTTTCCACTCCACTGCTTTTGACCTTGTCCCCGGAAACTTTGAGTTTGTTTGGGACATTTCACCCACAGACCGGAACTGTAAGGGCGCAAACACATTGAGAGGGTGGATGTAGTAAGTAACTGCTACATCCAGACAGAACCACATTCTGTCTGTTTGTCCACCGCTTTGGCCCAGACTACAGTATGTAACAGAAATTACACGGATGGCTGTGATATTTAGTTACTTTACACGGTACTTTATACTGTTTTATTTAATTCTACAGACTCAACCATGTCTTCCCTCAAGCACTGCCAGCAGATAAAGTACATTTTTTCAAATTATTTATTTCAATATCTACTGAACAGAGTGGACTGGTACCAACTCTAACTTCTCTTTGAGCACCACCACTAGGACGAGTGATCCTGTCTCAACAGTCATGTCAAATACTTTAGTTTGTGAACACATTTCTTCACGGCTAACGGCATTCCCATCAGCAAAACATGACCTCACTGTGAACTGCCCACACAGAAGCGGTTGACTGGGTGCTTAATATATGAAGGCACAGACCTGGAACAACCAGTGCGCGTTACATTTGAATGTTTTGGATTTGCTAATCAAATTGGGAACACAGTGTAACTTTAAAAGTTAAAAGGTTCAAAGTGTTCACTAAAATACTACAAACTGACAAATGTTGTCAATTATATTAAGTTTCAAACTCAAGGTCAGGGCTTTTTTCACGTCTCCAAGCAAACTTTAAATTTTTCTAATCATACAATTTCCGATTTTCAATAAGATTTTCTTTTAATTGTATCTTAGAATATTATAGTATATTTATAAAACATTTCCCAGGGTTTCTACCTCATTCCTGTTGTGAAATACTATATGCATTTAACAAAACAAAAAGGGATGTTTCCTACTGGCATAATTACATATATATTCGAAAATATTCAAACTTGGCTTGAACTTTTGGAAGGGACAAAATATTTAAAAGACCAGAAATAATTGTTGAGATAATTCGAATGTGTTGTGTTGAGCTGTTAGAGACATACTATCACGACTACAGTAAGGTAGTAACGCACACAACATTACTCTTTTAAATGTGATTAGATATAATACAATGCACGGTGGAGGTGCAGCGTCCTCTCAGACCACATCCCACTCACGTCTTCTTGAAGAGTCCTCCCAGGCTGCTGCCCACCAGCAGGAAGAACTGTTGCGAGAAGAAGACCCAGGTGATCTGCTGCAGCGTGGACTGCGTCTGACACCTCAGGTCCAGGACGGTTGGTCCCAGGAAGGCGATGCACAGGCCGAAGCTGAACAACGCGCTCCAGTAGGTGAGCGTTACTCGCCAGTGGCGTTTGAACAGCGACCAGATCCGCTCGTCCAGCAGCATCACGTCGGCCCCTTTTTCAGAGGACGTCGGCCTCCCGAAGCAGCTGCAAGCCGCTCGTGTCTGCACTGAGGAGTTGTATCAGAAGGAAGGACTCTTACCGGGGAAAAAGGAAACAGCTTCCCGGGAGTCTCATTCAGTCTTATTCAGGGCACTTTACGGTCTCCTGTCAGTTGGGCGACTATCGGACCGGGCGCTGATTGGCTGGTTGTCCCGAAGGTACCGCCCACTGCCTGCCTGCTCTCAGGTCCGCGCTGCTGTATGACGTCTTCCAGGTGTAAAAGTGGCAATTCAACACAGAACAAATACTCTAAAGTGTGTTTGAAATGCCTGCAGCACACAGTGGGCGTACTCCAACAACACTGAATGAAAAACTAAGACCCTTTAAAAAGTACTAAAGTATAATCATTAAAATGATCTCATTGGATCCAATGCACAATGGAATATCTATCCAGTCAAACATCTTCCTAAAGAAGATGAAGAGGAACTATACTGTATTAGGTATATTACAGGCGTGTATATACTATTTATTCAAACTGGATGAAAGAATTACGTCACAGTGCATTGCTTTATAAAGGTTTCATTAAGTAAAGAGGTTTGATACAGTAACAACAATGAAACAGTTAACAGTTTAATGGATGGGGGTACAAGCTGACCCTCCGCAGCCGGTTTGGAGCTTCTCTATGGCGTCCAGGTCTCCTCACATGTCCTTTAAGTAAAAAAATGTTAGTTTTTAATGCAGAATGACAGACAGCACAACACGCCTGCGCACTGTGGATAGAGACAAGCAAACAATTGGGTGGAAAGTAAAGACCTTTAAGTTCAATTCAAACATGTAGTTATAAATCTAAACTGCCCTTAAACAAACTTGACGTTGGCGGTGAACAAACAACAGTTTCTGACAACAGATTAAAAGTGCTGTGACTGATGACGTTTCAGGAGTCCAGGAGAACACACGGCCACACAGGCAGGCATATTGAGAAAGGGCCTCAATTCATGGGCCTCATGAGGAACCAGCCTTCGCAGTCGACCTGGGCTGGTCCTCCAACGGCCGCGTAGGCTGAACCAAGCGCTCCCTGAAATGGGACGGTCTGACCTACGGGGAGACTTCCTGTTTGCGTCATCAACCTTTCTGTCTGCTACTCGCGTTGCCTAGCAACCTGCTGCGCGTGACAGTAAAAGCCTTAAAAGACGAAAAACTTAAACTTAGTACAGATAGAGAAGGTAATCTTCTTCTTATTTCATTTAGGAGAACATGATTCACCTTCACAGTAGTAGTTCATTTTAAATTAAATTTAAAGCGGTTAAGAGAGGAAATCAATCAATAGTGTTTATTGTTTTACAGCCGTAAGTGATTGGCTGCGTAACTCATTTGATAAAGTCCAAAATCAAATGGTTGCCAGGCAGGACTTTCCTATCTGTCGACCATCTACGACATTCTTTACTCCTAAACTTGAGCCTGACAGGAGAAAAAGCCTTCAGAACAATCCTTCATTGGGAATAAAAAGATTTCAAGCATCCTAACCCCAGATTGCACATTACATTATGTATGTATTTCACGTGTATTAAACTATTAAATGGGCTACAAGAAGTACAATGCGTTCAATTCACATTACAGATATTTTTCTAATATAATAAATAATACATAATTACCCGCATACTATAATTTCTCCCGCTCGTCGTGCTTTTCTGCTTGAATTCCCAACATTACCGCTGCTGCCTTGTATCCTCTGCTCCGCATCCATACGAAAAGGTCAGGTGAGATCCTGCAGACGCGCAGTAACCCGATAGCACCATCTTGTGTTCATGTATGTCACTGTACACCTGCCTTTGTACCGTGTGCTTCCACAACTAAATTCTGTCGTATGTACATAAGAGGCCAAAGGCAATGACCAGACATTTTGTGTGCCATAATTTCAATAGTTTATTTATTCATTTGCAAATCCATTGTTCCATCAATTATATGCCCGATAGCTGTCACATTACATAAAATTTCTCATTTTGTAACAGTGTAGACAAATCACGCAAAATATCACATCTTATACAAAATCTAAATTGTATCTTTTATAAAACATTTAAACATCTTCTTTATTTAATCTTAAATAGTGTTCTATCTTTTTAACGGCAAAAAACTCACTGCGAAAGATGAAAACATCTGTTAAAATACATATATATGTTATTTATGTTTCATTACAGTACTTAAAATAGCGTCATTTACCACGACTAAACAAAGAGTAATACTTCTGCCACTGAAGGAAGGAGGAGGTTGGAAGTGTAACATCCACAGCTAGAGATCCCTCTGAGGTCTCGGCGTGTTTTCTCCTAAATTTCTCTCCCTGTTGCCTTCACCTTCCCTTGCACACAACATGATTCTGACTTTAGTCACCTTCAGAGGTAGAACAATCTTTCTGCTATCGCGCCCCTTTAATCGTAGAAGAACATTGTCCTCCCCTGACCTGCACAAACACCATTCTGTAGTGCTCCAGGTGAAAGCACGGGTAACGTAACACACTCAAACTCGAACCGACGCCTCTGGTCGCTTTGCCTGCCTGGTCTCACTTCCAAAGAGTCAAATACCGCCGCTTGGTCAGTTGGCTTGGCATTCTTGGTACCATGAAGCCACCCTTTAGCATCTGCATGAGATGCGGCAGGCGTTTAGCCCCCCGCCGCGGTAAACCTAATAGATGTTCGGACCGACCCCTTAGCATTAGGGAGGAATTCTCAGCTAAGGCTGCGAGGGATGGGTAGCGCACGGGTCAAATAAACACAGGACTTTCACTCAGGGGACCTTAGGTGGTGTTGTTTTGTGAAAGAGAATGTTCAGTTATTTTTACTAACAATAGTAAGTACTAACAATATTTAAGATATGTAACAGACGTCTCTAACCCTAGCCAAGTAGTTTTGTCTTATAATCCTAACTGCAACAGTTTTACAAGCTGAAGTATTTGCGTTGTCTTAACTACAAAGTGGCAGGTAGTTAAAATATTTGTTGTTTCCTATACCGACATCTTATTGTTTTGCTACATTAACCGAGTGTTAAAACAGTTCCAACAATCAAACCTTCTGCGTCAAGATAAAATGCAAGTAATTTGGCCTCCGACTGACTTGGGATGTCCACCCAGGTAATGCGGATGGGGAGGTGGTAAAGGCAGAGTGCAACTTTGCCGAGAGCCCCCATCACTTTTGTGTGGGGAGGGCGGTTCATCTTCCATGGCATACATTATGCACAACCTCTGGCTTCAGTCGTAAGGGAACTACGAAGGACATTGTAGAAGGATGATTTGAACGTTTTACTTCTGCAGTTAAGTAGACTTTCTAGTATCGTCTGTCTGTCTGTACTTATCTACACTGCCAATTATAGACACACAGCCCAAAGATGGTCCGTGGCAACAGAGCTGTGCAAGAGGTAAGGGGTAATGGTGAGTACTACGGAGAGAGATTTGCTACCAGAAAGTGATGGATTGTTAGACATACTTTCCCAGTTGACTGGTTCTAGGGTTAAGGGGTTTTGGTATGTCGTGAAACCACATAAGACACAAAGGGAAGGAAGCAGAGGACACTTTTGGTTTGTGCAAATAGGAGACTAAGAATTACACACACAAAGCGAATGCCTTATTGGCTACACTAGATCAAATATAGATTCTTCACAAAGCCAAGATTTCATGCACAGTTTACTAAGGCAACTTCAAGAACTGGAGGGAGTGTGAGCTCTCAACAGTGGAACACAACCCCACAGTGAGTTGAAAGAACGTGGCGCTTCAGCAAGGCCTTCAACGTGGATCAATATTACAACATCTCACGTCCACGAGGACATCAGATTTCATGGGTTCCATGTTGGTTTCTTGTGAGTAGAAGTGTAAATGAACAGTGTACTACTTCTTCAGTGTTTACAGTCCTTGTGTATATTCAACTATAAGACTTCTGGATGACCCAACGTACCCATTGCTGCCATATTGGTAGTTTCATCACAGCTAGCTGATGTAATGCATTAGCAAAAGCACTCTGAGGTTGACGCTTTATTATTCAACCGTTTAAGAAGCTGGCTCCTTAGTTACCCAGTCAGCTCATTCATAGCTAACAAACTCCTTGGCCAAAGGCCTCTGCTACTGTTGCCAAGTTCCCTCTGTTCATTGGGAGGTTTAAGCAACATGAGGTAACTTTGACTCCCTTATTTAAATATTATTTTACATTAAATATTAAAATGTTAAAATGTGACTTCTGGTATGACAGAATAAAACATAAAATCCTCAGTATTTCTCATCTAGAATTACTTTCAATGCTGAGAAGGCTTTGGATCCCCCGATTTTAATGTCAGGAAATAAAATTGATACAAATGCAAAAAAGAAAATTGATTAAAAGTTATCACTACATTACAACCATTGTAATTTTATTCAAGAGACCACTTTTTGTGTCCTGCGAGAAGCCAAAATGTATCTCTGACCTCACATTTAGATATTGATAGCCCGCTAAGGGCGGTTGTTAATTCCTTACGTAACTTCTGTTGCTACGGTTGTCACGTAGGTTGTTACGTCATTACGGTTGGTTACTGGATTACGTTTTATTGTTACGTTTTTTTTGGTCTAGAAATGTCGATGTTGAACGTATAGTATAGTTTGGAGAAACGTAAACCTATTTTTCTCGCGGTTTGGTTGCGTGAAAAGAAGCCTAAACTTTAGTACGGCAAACATTCAGTACTTTTTCAAAACAAGCCGAACCCACTAGTCTTCACTCTGAACTGAACTGATCTCAACGTGCACCACACACCTTCTGTCTGTACAACTGAGACTGAATGATGGCTCCAGATGTGGTGGCCACCCTGAATGGCCACAGCCGTCGGCGTGCCCTGGATGGAAACTACACATGCTTGATGTATGTGTATGCAAGGCGGGTTTAGTTTGGACCCTTATGGCTGAGATCTTGGTCAGAAATGCATGTATGTCTGTATCAATGGGATAAATAAATCACTGGTGTGTGCAACTAAGTAATGGCAAAGTATTCACTGTGGGTGATTGTGCAAAATGTGTGCAAATGTACTGTAGGCTATGTGTGTGGAGGGAGAGTGTATCTCAGCTGAGTCAAATGCAGTACAAGTATATACTGAGAAACCATTTGTGTCTTCATGGTCAGCTGCCTTGGAAATGAGACGTAATGCAGGTGAGCATGCTCTCGAATGTGCTGAGCTGTCTTGGCTTCTGGACTGTGGTCAGGAAAAGGCAGCTTCCCGTCTACGCGTGGCTCCGACCCTTCCCCGAGTCCTCTAGAAGATGCTTTGCCTTCGGTTCTTTCCTCGACCTGCAGATTGGCAAATTGGAGCTGCACTTATTTAAAAGGAGGATTACTGAGCGTTGACAGGAAACAATTGAAACAGATGATACAGTATATTTGTCTGGGGAGAAAAAACTGAAGCTTTTTTCATAAAATACCTTTTTTCCGTGTAATCTTTACTGATTAGGTGTGGGTGCATGAGCGTAACCAGAGGAAAAAAGCATTGTGTGCATTGAAGCATTGTTAGAATTTGAGAGTTTGCGATTAAGTACATGAAGTGAGTATTTAAATGTGCGATAGTTATCTTCATAGAGACGACACCTTGTTGATTTAAATGTTATTTTCAGTTCTTCTGAGCTTCATACCCGTGGGATTGTGTCAAAGTAAACAAAGTCAGCATGCCGGCTTCTTGCAGAGCAATGCTAATTAGAAAAGTACAGCTCACATTTCAGATGTTGCAGTCCCAAAAAAACAGAGCTTCTTTCAAATCTGTTAATTTCCAGGCAGTTCGGCACACTTTAACAGTTTGTATCCCATAAATATTATTACAGACTCAAAGCCTTTTATTTGTCAGGCTCATCCTGTGTAATATGAAACATAGCATGCACCCATTACCGAGTCGAATGCTGTACCCACTGTGTGCAGAACAGAAACGAGGGCCTCGCAATTACTTGTAGTGGATTATAACACGTTGCGAGGTTGAGTGCAGGAACCTTACCTAGAGGCTGAAACACTGAGCTGCGGTGGCCTGGGTCCTTCTGGAGCTGGAGCTCTCTGAGGGAAAACACTGAAGCAGCTAAAACAAAGACAGCAGAGAAGGACTTAGGAGCAGAGGAAAAAAAGACCTTAAATGTAAAAGTGGCTGTCCAGTTTCTACCAATTTTGTAAAAATGTTGTCACAATGTGTGGGTGTTGGACAAAGTGTCGGGTACGGAGTTAGTTGTTAAGTGCAGGCGGTTGAAGTTGCTCTACGAGCCCTTCTGTGTGGAGTCTGCATGTTCTTCCCGTGTCGGCGCGGGTTCATTCCGGGCCTCATCCCATGGACCAAAGACGTGCTCTGGAGACCGGGTTGATTGGTGAGTCTAAATTGCCCGAAGGTGTGTGGATCCTGGTGTGAATGGTTGTGTGTCTTAGTGTCAGCCCTCCGATTGACTGGCGACCAAACCAGGGTGTCCCCCCGTGTCTTGCCTGATGTGCGATCGATTGACTCCAGCCCCCCTGTGACTTAGTATCAAGGTTAAGTGGCTTAGAAGCCAATAACAAAGAGAACTTTGTTGCTTTTGGACCTTAAATACACCCAAGAGGCTAGAAAGATGTGTTGACATTGTGTGTGCTTCTGTCTTACTATCTGCCAAATTGTGTATATTATTCCCCAGACTCAGGAAGTAAGAGTGGCGTAGAGCGTCTTCCGAGGTGATTCTCCTTCTGGTGTCATACTGCAATCACAATACAAAAAAGCAGCTGAATGGTCCATCTCTGAAGTCACAGTCCATTCCCGTATCTGGGGGAGTGAAGGTCATTGTGTTCTTGTGTCATACCAGCAGTAGAGCAGATAGCAGGTCGATCCCCTCCGTGTCCAATCTGAGACAGAGAAAAAGTACAGTTCTCATTATTTGAACATGGCTTTTTTTCAAACTAAAAGCAACAACAGTTTTATGATGAAGCCAATAGAGCAACTGGTACAGATTTATAATTCTCTCAAATCTTGAGAAGAAATTTGACAAAACCTCTGAGTGATGTTTTCATAAAATAAAACCTCAACGTTGACTTCTGTTTGGTGGGGAATGAACAGTGACCTCTTGGCTGAATGATCACTGTTTATTGGACTTAAGCTTATCCTATCCCATCCAATTTGGGCGCTAAGGGTCTTTACATGTTCTCTTTGAGGATTACACACAAAAATTGTGAGATATTTAATAACTGGCCATTATTTGTTTTTTTGTATTTGTATTATTGCTATGCATGCTGGAGGAGGCCAGACATAACATTATGAAATACAATATAAAGTATTGTTTCACCAGGACAGTTTAGTGGGTGTCTTTTACCATCTCGCAGACAATCAGAATGAAGCATTCCCCCAGTACACGTAAAAACACATGTAAGTGTTACCTTGGCACATGGTTGATGAGAGCTTGAGGTCTGTATTGAGGAAAGAGATAAGACCTAAATTCCTCATTACTACTAATCCCTGGCCAGGTATCTTCTGTTGGAGTACCTGGAATACAAAGAAATGTTCAAATGTGCATTGCCACAGAACACTGACATCGAAACCACTTGTACTAACTCCATATATTACCGTTGCCGCTTGCTTATTATTATAATCGTCTGCCATCTTACCGAGAAGCCTGAAAACTAAGTGTAGCTCCTCCTTCACTGTGGCACCAGGAAACATGGGACGACCGGTTGCCATCTCGTACAGGATACAGCCCATACCCCTGTAGGAGGAGGGAGACGATAAACACGGAGGGAGCAGGACCGAAACAAAAAGAGCCCTTGAACACGGAACACACACAAACTTCAAAGAGCGCAGACTAAGTGCAAACATATGTGAAGCCTTTGGTTTAATGCTGGACGATATGTTGAAGAGACGAGTAGCGAGGTGAGCTTACAAAGGGCCGTTGGACATTTAATCCTCAATGGTTCAACAGAACACAGGTTTTCTCGCCATATTGGACGTTAATGAATATGAAACATAAGGAGAGAGACAGATGAGCTATGGTCCGTTTTACGACTCGTGACGCAACTCCCTGCTAACAACCTGTGAGATTTTGTATGAATGATTAACAGGTGTCCTGGACGATGCTCAAGTTATTCAGCTGATTTACCAAGTAAAACTGGACCCTTTCAGCACGTTGGTTATCAATTTGATGGATGTTTTGATACTAGTTTCCTGCAGCTTCCTTGTTTGGTAACAAGTCCAGAAAGATGCTCTCCATTTAACCTTTCTATGCATTCACAAGGCCTCATTTGCAGGTGGCCTTTCTTTGGTAGGCAAGTACATGTTGGTTAACTATGCATCAATTATCCAAATTGATCTGCTCACCACATGTCGATTGGTGTGGAGTATTCTGTAGAGCCCAGCAACACATCAGGGGGTCGATACCATAGAGTTACCACCTCATTGGAGTAGGTCTTGGTAGGGACGGACTTGGCCCTCGCAAGTCCTGGAAAACCACAACTTGTTAAGGATTTGAAAATGCAATGTGTAGGAGCCCATGTAAAAGCTTTCCCTTGGCAGTCAGGCCAGTCCCCTCGGATTAGCCCCCCCTAACACCAGGAAATGTGCTCTCTAAATTGGAGCTGCTCGTAACACCCATAAGCTGTGGTCAGTAACAGCTCATGTAATAATAGCCTCTAAATGGCCACATTGTGTTAATAATGAGAAATGTTGGATTAGTCACTCTATCAGCTCACTCTTTTTAATCAAAACTATCACTTAAATAGTCAGGGTATGCTTGTGGGTTTAACTACCCTCTTCCATTATAGAATCGAGAAAAACTCTGAGATAGGGGCACTGTTGCTAGGATACAACAAGCAAGGGTGCTGGAGTAATGGGGACTGAAGATTGGCGAGCAGTAGCAAAATATAATTGAATAGCGATTATGACAATAAACCTGCTATCTCATTCCCAAGTGTCTGCATGTTTTAAGCCACCTTTGCCTTTATTGATGTTAATGTATGCTTTATGTAAATGAGCTGTGAATCCTACCAAAGTCGGCTAGTTTCAGCTCTCCCTTGTCGTTGATAAGCAGGTTCTGAGGCTTTAAGTCTCTGTGGAGGATTTTTCTCTTATGACAGTAGGACAGACCACGCAGGAGTTGGAACATAAAAATCTGTGGGACAAAAAAAAAGACATGAAGATGAGGATAAAGAATGGCATCTTTGTGAAATACAAATTTCTAAAATGGAAGTTTCCTGTCAACTGGTTTAACTCCTTCTTTCAAAGTCAATCTTCCAAAAGTTCAATTCCAGGGATCTTGCGATTGGCTCACCTTGACGTTATGCATGCTCATGAGATTCCCACAGTTGTCCAAGTACTGTTTCAGGTCACTGTCCTGGAAGACACAACGGCAACGGCGTCCACACTCAAAATCTACCCACAGCATATTTGTGTTTGGTCAACACCTTTTCAAAACACCACACGCGCTGAGCTGAACTCACAAGATACTCGAACACCAGAGTGAGGCAGCGGTCCGTGTGGATGATGTCGTGCAGAGTGACGATGTTGGCGTGTTTCAGGTTCTTCAGTAGGGATACTGCGTGGACAGAAGAAGGTGAGTTGAGTTGCTGCATCAGCGGGTTATTGTAATCTCAACTGTTTGGTAGAGGTTTTTGTATCTGCGCTTGAACTTAAATCTAGTGTTCGAATTACATTCTACATTGTAATTCCATACGTTGTGCTAATCTTTCTAGTATACCGTTGCATTATATGTGGTTAGTCTTGACAACGTAATGTTGTCAAGACTATACATTGTAAACATTATATATGCAAAAATGCATCGATTCCTGTTTTAAGTCAGACAGATGATTACTGTCAAATAAGATTAAATTGTGCTCCAGTCACTTCCTTCTGGTAGGATTGACCTAAAATAGAATTATTATCACCCTGTGGGCCGCAGCAAAATGCTGTTACATCAGTGAGCGTGTGAGCTTGTTACCGTGTGTGTACAGTACCTTCTCTGATAGCAGTGCAAGGTGCTCCCTCCTCGTGCTCCAGCCGGATCTCCTTCAACGCCACCAGGTTTTCTGTTAGCTTGCTTCGCCCTTTGAACACTGTGGCATACGTCCCCTATGAACACACACACACACACACACACACACACACACAGCTGACATTCTGATAGTTAAATATTTTAACAAGCTGTTACTCAATTACCAGCAGTTATGCCTTTTTTTCTATCAATAGCAATGGTAATGATGTTAAAGTGGCTTAGAAAATAAGCATAAGCTTCTTAAACAGGCATGGATTTAATCCATTCATTTAATGCTTGTTTCCTTCCTCAGGGTCAGATTATATCTGATTATTGACTTATCACAGCCCATGATTATCCTATATTGTTCCTAGGTTTGAACTGCTGACAATTCCTGTCATTACGTAGTCGACTGTAGGTGTTGCAAGCTGAAAAGAGAGCAAAGCCCTGCAGATATTAAGAAAAGGAAAAGTAGTAAACAGGAGATTGCCTAGTTAACCATTTGTGACAATTGACTACAAAAGCAGGTCCTTTCACGCGCCGTCGCTGTTATCTGCAGCTGAGCCTTGTAACTGGGACTGAGGCGCACGGCGTCTGTCACTAATCCTTCCTTCCTCCTTGAGGCAACAGCTGTTCCCACATGAATCCTGTGGATTTTTAGGTGCGCAGGCCGTGTCGTGCAACCTTTAAAGCCCCCGAAGGGCCGATAGATGTGTGCAGAGTAAAACAGCACACACAGTGTTTTTATTCACGTTGCATCCCAACTAATGCAAGAAACACGAGTAGGCTATATTGTACATGAGCATTGACCGCGTGTTAACACTTGAATGTGTCAGTAATTAGCAGGGACAAACCTCGCCCAGTTTGCCGAGCTTCACGTACGTCTCCAGTTTCCCAAAGCCGATGTCGGACTGCAAGCAAGGAGAAAAAAGCACGTCGATCTGTTACGATTCTCTCTTCAGATCAAACAATGGAACCGCCAAAGCCTCCTATTTGCAAACATTAGTCTACTGCGTAAATCCCCATTTACTGAATCAACCTGATTAATGCCTCATTGTAAAACTAATAAAGGAGGACAGAACATGTAATAATAGCAGGAAGGAGAGACGATAAGACAAGCTTGGAGAGGAAAAACTGTTCTGTTATTTGATCCAGGATATTCACTGGTTTGATTGTAATCTATGAAATGGATTGTAAAACAAACAAGAGGCCAACATGGTTGCTGAAACAATATTCATGTTCAGTGAGATTAGATAAGAAAACTACAGGGTTGAATATGACATGAAATACAAACACAAGACACAGGCACAGGGTTATTTGTACATGATGGGTATATAAATATGTAGTGATGTAAAGCACATACCAGGGAAGCACGCCGAGACATGCGGCTGATGGGTTTGCAGAGCGGTGGGTTCTCACTCTCCAGCTGCAGCTTCTTGAGGAACTCCGGAGGCAGGCGGATGTCCATGGGCAGAGACATGCGCTTAGTGACGCCCTGCAGGGCGATGGGGTAAAGAGATTATCTGACTTTTTCAGACGATAGTTATTGCAAACAATCGGACTGTTGGAGCAAAAAGGCAGTTTTCCTGTTTGAATCACAGGCACATTGATGTGCGCGTACAGGTGAGTGCCAAGTGATGGGACAGGTGTGTGGACGAGAAGACGATGGCGTTTTGACCGTGTCTCGAGCGGACGTTTCTTGACCTGAACAGGCTGAGCCTGATGTGACTTAAATAGAATAATAGAACGTTAAATAGAATGTAATGAATCTGACCGGGTGACCGTAATAAATGTTTTGTCGCCTAGAACACGTGTCCAAAAACGTCCTCCTGTTCGCCCCTCAGTGGCTTGATACTATCTTGAATGTAGTTAAATCCACTACACAAACTTTGCGTTCTCGAGTTGACTTTCGATTATCATTGCTAAGGCTGAATGTGAGTGTCGCAATGAGTTTGAAACTATTTTGTTGCAAGAAGAAACTAATTAGTCAAAGGAGATATTCCTGTGTGGGTGTGCCATTGGCTCGCAAGGCTTTTTAATGTTAACTCACTAAAGTCACTAATTCATTAGGTGCTGTTCCACTACAGCAACTTAATGACCTAATGACTCAATCTTGCTCTGTATGTCTTTTCCAGAGGATAAGAGGTGGAACTCTCCGCTGAAACGATTTAACCAATTACAACCATTGTAGACCATTTGATTAGAAAGGGGAACATAATGTATCTTTCCTTTGCTTGTTGATGGAAGACATCCAGACTTTCTAAGCTCACTTATTGTTGCACATTATGTCTGTCTGTCTCGAATCCCTCCTGAGCTCTGACTCCCCTGTGGTATCGCTTCATCCCACTGTCTGCTTTGGAGCATGAGACAGACTCCAAGTGAATCCCACTCATTCCCGGGGGGCATTCTACGAAAGGTGGAACTGTGCACTTCACATTTCTAATAAAGAAAAGGTCTGGTGCTTTGGGGAGGGATAAAATCTTCCCGAAGTGACTCATCCTAATTGAGCTGGCAGAGGTGAAGATGAAGACATTACTCTCGGCGAAGCGTTTGACCAGGAGAACAAAGTGGTTCCTACGTCGAGATGATTTGTCAAGCTTTCAACGTTCACTTGAAACGTGACAGTTTTCAATCGGTGCTCGATGGGCAACACATGAATCCAGAATCACTGTGACAACCTACATACCTCTACGGAGAAACGCTTGTGCTCGGCCTTGTCGTGGAGGTCTGGCTGTGAAGGTGACTGGGCTTCCGGCGTCATTGGCTCGGGACTCAATGGACTGGCATCATGAGATGGAGGACCAAGCCTATCCGGTGTCAGGCCTGCCAGGGAAAAGATGTAAGCATTACACAGCTTTAATGACCAGTGGCATGGTCAACACATTCTTCAAGTATCCAAAAGCAAACAGGTCATTCAGCTGTGTTTAGAACTGGTTACATGGGAAGACATTAGATTTAGTTATTGTTTAGGCGTGACCTTAAATCTGAGGTCTTTGGAGCTCGTTTTCGACTGCCAATCTCACAGCTGGATATGTTACGCAGCATTTACTGGAGGAACAGAGGCCCCCACAAAGGTCAGTAACACCACATACTGTTGGATTGAGGGTGGATGACTGGCTTGATGGTGCTTCGGAAAAAACACAGCAAAAGTTCCCTCTTGGACGAATGAACTGGTGGCCTTTTGTGAAATATAATTATATGATATTATATAATTCTATAATATGATCACATCTGACATTCTCGTCCACTACTCCTATCTGATGTACAAAAGCAGAACCAAGTTTAAAATGAATTGTATATTTTTGTGGATGGTTGTATAAAGAAATTATTGCAAAGTCCTTTTATGTGGTTGATTTTCCCCAAAAATTAATACTGACTCAACCCTCCCCTGTCCTGTCTGCTCTTTTTTGAATTGTGTGAATAATTTCCCTAAACCTCACCCGTGACTCCTGTGTGCTGCATTCATTTACATAATATTACTTCACCCTCTGACATTGATGTGTATGTAATGTAGATATATTGTACATATCAAAACATTTACTGCAAGATTGAGTTGCTACAGAGAACGAGAGCTGATGTTTAAACATCTGGGAAAGAAATGTATCCCTGGTCGCAAATCATCAATTCCAACCAACTTCAAACTGCGTCCGAAAGAGGTCCCACTCAGTGACCCATCCATCCATCTGGACAGAACAATTTATTTTCTTTCCTGTCAATAGTCAAAGACACCGACAGTTCTGTGCTGTGGGTCAGTCACAGCCTTCTATCGCGTAGCTAACATGCAACGCGTCAGCAGTGCAACTGTAACTGCTTTCACAGCAAACGTTTTTTGCTAAAAAACGCTGCTTGACTTGTTGAAAAAAGGACTCTTATCCCCTCGTTTTTTTTAGAGATGAGTCTCATTGAGACCACAGAGGAGCAAAAAATATACTCGGACCACACCAGCACTTTGGTGTGACAGCCGTCCAGCCTCCGCGGTGGGAAGAATAGCCTTTTGATCTTCGTTTGATGTCTCGTCGGTGTCTTTTGAATGCTGCCCGCTGTAGAGGTTTCAGCTGCCATTTGATCGCCCGCTTCAATAGTGACCGTCTCACCGGCCTCACCGGCATCTTCCCGCCATGTGCGTGTACAGAATGTCTGCCGTTACCAACCAGGGTGAAGCACGCGGCGCTTTAGCTCCTTGTTCACATTGGGATAATGGTTTCACAAGAGAGTTCTTTGTGAGATTGATTGACGGCCTAAATGGGCGGGGGGATGAAATGGCAACCTGTTTGCTATTCGTTTGAATATCGCAGCTATGGCGCTCCTTTGATCCCTGGATGCTAATTAGAGTCATTGAAGGCGATGCTGACAGGAGCACGCAAGTGAGAGATACGGGCGGTTGCCTCCCAGACATCTCGGGGAGAAACACAATCCAATTATGGTCCGCCACATGATGATTTTGTGGTGTTTCCACTGACACTGCGTTTACAGAGGGAGGGAGAAAGAGGAGTGAGGCATGAGATAATGGTGGAAGGGTGTTAGGGTATAAAGTTACAAGTAACGTTAGAATAAATCCCAATGAGTAAAAGAAAAAGAAAAAAAGGTTTGTATTGACAAGCGTGGACGCGTTATCGCATCGGGGTGTGTGATAATAAACAACACCTAACGTTTGCTGTGCTGAATTGGACTTTCTGTTGTTATTGCATGAATATAGGTCAAGCCAAGCGGCAACCTCAGTTCTGACACATGAAGCCAAAGCAAAAGAGCCTTAAAACTTTGCTCTGCCAACCAGCAGTGGCTGCAAAAAAGGGTTAAATACACAATAAAGAGGAGTCTGCCTCCTGTGATTGGAAGGTTGTTGTTGCTATCGCAGATGTACAAGTGTCACTACGCCTCTGCTCTGCATTGTAAATACGTTCATGGTGGTCCATTTAAAGTAAAGTAACCATGAAAATCGTTTATGAAGGAAACTAATAATAACGTCTGCATACACTTCAGCTGAGTGAAGGATAAGGTATTATGTGGTGAAGCTTAGAAGGGTTGCCTGATTGGAATGGTAGCTGGTAACTGGGAGTGCCAGTGTGTTTTGGACAACAGCCAGTCAACATAACCGAGATAATGAAACCACACCAGCTTGACTATAAAGCCTTTGTGACTTTGTGCAAGGTGATTTCATGCTTTTTAATGATCTCCATTCTTAAGGTTTTTACAGAGGGTTTAGTTAGTATATTTTATTTCCAAAAACATACATCTACAAAAAAGAGATAATAAGAATAACCCTCCGTAGAAGCCTTAATTATAATATGTCAACAAAATAAAGAGAAAGAAAACTCTCTTCCTTTTTCATAATTAAATCTTTCATTAAATCAACTGACTTCAGGAGTTATTTCTCCCAGCACATTCTCTGCAGGGACACTCAATATTCTACTGTGTTTATAAAGAAGCTTTCATCAAAGCGTTGATGTGTCACGGTCGCTCATTTGAGTGGGAACCTGGCAGAACAGCTTTCAGTGGACTAATAAATGGAAAGAGAACAAGGGGATTCGCCCTATCAGACTGTAAATTCTGGCTACCACTGATGACGCTGAGCCACACGCATATTTTTAAAGCTCTGAGGAGTATACGTGTGTTTGTATGAATAAAAAAAACACGTCTGACTCAATCAACAGCTGTGGTGTAGTTTTGTGTTCATGGCTGTGTCTTATGTGTGCATGTGGAGCCTTAAGGGGATGCTAATCAGTTCATCGAGCTCACTGATCCGAGACTAACGGACATCCTTTGTCAGTTTGAATCAGCCACTCATGGTCTTAAATATTAGAAATGATGTGAAAGGAATCCAATAATCTCATAAAATTGAAGTAGTTAATCGCATTGAAGCATTAGCTGCACATTTAATAAGATTTGTCTGCGCAATTATGCATTATGTACATAGTTTCTTCAGTACATAGCAACCATGAGGAGAGGCTATTAAACCAGTGTCAATGTCTTCTTTTGGTGTAACTGGGGATTTCCCACACTGAGAATCTCATGTAGGTTTGTTAGTGTTGTTGTTTTGTTTTGTTTTTCCCCCATCGACCCCCCTTTGTTTACAACATCTAACTGTAAGTAACTATAGAAACGAGTGACAAACGGATGTGTAGCTTAGCCTTTGCCACAGAATAATGGACAGCACTGTTTGTTGTGTGTGTGTGTGTGTTGAAGCAGAGCGACTAAGGTACAGTCACTATGTGAGAGAGAGGGACAGAGAAACCCAAGATGCTTTTACATTACATGCCCCCCTCAACTGAATTTAAAGAATTAAAATTTTAAAATCCATTAATAAAAAGAAGATAATAAAACCTTTTGGTCTCACATGGGACTTGAAAACTGCTCTACCGGTTGAAAGTACTGTGTTTGTTTGACCAATGCATGCACTGCAACAGCATCCTTTCACAGACTTTGTCGCTCTTCATACCACGTCTCCTGACGTCATCGGCGTCCATCACTCACGTCTTGGGTTGTATTGAAATTACAGTCCATTGCTTTTTGTAGACCAACACCAAGCAACAATACATTTATTCAATGCCTACAGTATCAATGGCATTACCCTCCACATAGCAGTGCATCACGCTGGGCAGCACAATACAATCCCTCAAGTGGGGAGAGAGGACAGTCAGAGAAAAGAGAAAATGTCGTGTCTCTCTCTCTCTCTCTCTCGTTCTTGCCTCTTTCTTCTTTACTCGGTTGTTTATCTTCTTCTCTTTCTCCTTCTGTCTGGTTACCTCTCCACTGACCTTCAGGAGCAATCAGTGATGCAGATAGATGTTCTCGGGGGGGGGTGATCAGGTCTCATGAGACATAGGACATCATGCATACATTCGGGAGCTTCAGATCATTCTGAGAGACCACCGCAGGTCCCGCGCCATCGATCTGAAGCACACAGACGTATGAGCCTTGCGCCCGTTGTTAGAGCAAACCGCCATGAGCGACATTTCTTATTATTTCATCTCTTCGTGTGTTCAAACTGCAGGGACACTCGCAAAACCCTTATGTCGAATGAATTCAGTTGCTGTGCATCAAGCATCAACCCCCCCCCCCCCCCTTTATTTCCTTCCAACTTCTGAAACTCACCGGGACGGCCCTCATTTCCCTTTGATTCCCGCGAGAACCCCCCGTTGCGAAACCTTCGTGGGGGTACAAGTCGTATCACCCGGAACCCCCCCCCCCCCCCCCCCAAAAAACAAACTGGTTAATCTGTGAGGTTCTGCCGCAGACACGGGGAGGCAGGAAGGGCTTTTGTATTTGGTATTAGAAACCAAAGCGAGATTGCGGCTTGCGCTCTATTTTTAGACACAAGCGGTTTATTTGCATGGAGGGAGAAAAAGACACAATTGGGGAAGCTCGGGCTCCAGGACTTTGAACGTGCGTAATTAACCCTCTTTGGTTATATAATGGTTTTGTCGGGCCAACTGTTGCTAGTAAAACCCCCCAAAAATCCCTCAGATATGAGTTCAAAAAAGACATCTTTGTGTGGCCACCATTAAAATCCAATGACAACTCTCAGAATTCAGAGAATTGCAGCCTATTGGTGTGCCACTTTCATCCAATCCTCCTGGAGGTCAGTGAAACGGGGGGTTCTTACCCTCAGTGTGGCGGATGTTGAGCTGGTTTATCTGCTCTGTGAACTCGTTCTCCTCAATGGTCTCAGTCCGGGGAACAGAAAGGGAGAAACGCCTCTTGAAGTTCTTCATCTTGTTCATGGTTGTTGGGGCACCGACGCTAAGAGAAAAAAATAGACAAGAGATGTACAATCAACACGTCAGTCAGAGAATACATTAATTACAACGCAATCACTGAGCCTTTCTCGGAGAATGGGCATTTAGTATGTAGAGAAGATAAAGTACACCATTAATCCAAGGAGCTGGAGTGTAAAGACGCCCTGTTGCAATGCCTTCATGTTGTGCCGGTGTGAAGCAGCTTTTTGTGCAGCTCGACCCAAGATGGTTGTCTGTGTCATCTGATAATGAGGCAGAAAAAAGCAGGAAAGCCACTGATCAATTAACTGTCTCCCATCATAGCCACAGCCCTCCCTAAAAGGCTGAGCGATGTGTGTTGGGAGGCTGGGGTTTAATTACTGCAAGACTTTACCCTTGCTCCTGTTATTTTTAGGCCTCACTCGAAATACGGCCGTGTTTTGCAGATACCAGTGTGCAATGTGTGCACGGTGCAGGTCAGCTGACTGCCTAGGTCCAATCAGGAGTATGACCCACACACAGAAAGTATGAGCAAATAACAAAATAGGTATTTTCATAGTTATGGAAATATACAGAAAGTGCTTGCGTGCAGCAGTGAAAGCAACATTGGATTATAACAAGGTGTCTTTTTGTGACTCAACCTGCTTAGATTACAAAACAATTAGAGTGCAAAACCATGTATTCAGGTTCCACAACTGTGGCTTAGAGTTAGCTAGTAGTAAAACTTATATCGATGCTGATGATAGAAATGATTGATTTTTAACTATTTTAAGGAGGACTCATTTGCAATCAACTGTGGGTATATATATATATATATATATATATATATATATAAGTATATATATATATTTTTAACTTAAAAAAACATGTAACATCACTAAGCTCTCTACACTCCAACATGAATTATTTTCCTCCTAAGAATTCAACAGAAAAAAAGAAATTTACCATTTACAGCCACTGCAACGCAAAATTGTGCCAAGGGTCATAAAGTGGTAAATAAATAAAGAAACATGAACACCTGGCGTTCAAGGGACATCTGTGGTAGTTCCGGCTACATTAGGTGTCTCCAGGACACACACAGACTCAGAATTTGAAAACAACACCAGCCACATGCTGCCGGGCTTTCTAATTAATCCCAATATGAAAAGCAGCACAGGCTCCACCAGTTTCCTTGAAAAAAACAAACCGATTGACTAGATTCTCACTGCTGAATATTTCCAATGGGTTGCCATGGTTTTTTCAGAAGTCTTTGGCTTGTCATCGCTCCCTCCACGATATCAAGCCACAAATTAAGAGCCACATTTTCCCTTTTGTCATTTGGTACCCCAGCAGGTGTCAGTGATAGTTGCCATGGAGACATGGTTCCTGGTCCAGAGGTAACTTGGGACAAGGTGGGTTAACTTTTCGAGACTATTTTTCATTTTTGTCTTTAGATGATTGGACTGGTAAAACATTTTAGTTCAGTTGAATAAGGCATTGAAACTCCGAGAAGAAGCTTAGTTGCGTTTTTAGAGGAGAAAGCCCCATGATAAAAAGGCTTAAGGAATGCGACAAAGACCAGGGAGTTCAATAAAAATAACAAAAGGATTGTCGGAGCCAGAGAAATGTGGGTGGCAGCCATAAATTGCTGGTGTGAAGGAAGCAACTCAAAAAGCCACATTGGAAGCAAATAATCCCCAGAGGGAAAACGGATGATTTCTAATTCTGAAATTGAGAAGCCTTTAGAAATCTATTATTAACGTCGTTAACGCAAGATCATGTCCAATGAGCAGGTGAAGCAGCCACACGGTCTGTGTGGTCTAAATTCCTAGAAATAGAAAGCGCTTCTGGTCCTGTAATGCGCAATTCCCTCCGTAAGCAGTAAATGTGCAGTTGACTTCTGTTTCAAAACTGACCTTAGCAAGAGTCATTTACTGCTGGGTGGGAGTTTTCTCCAGCTCGAGGTGGGTCTTCTGACTGATTGTCTACAATGATCATACATACCTGATGATAGGTTAACTATCAGAGGAGCATGTAAGTGTTGAAAACTAGTATAATAGAAAGAGATGACATATGATAATCAGATCAATGGGTTAAGAATGATTGAGGAAGAAGGCTTTAGACTTTCTGTGCAGGCGGAATTCACAAGGCCGGCCAGAGTGCTGATGTACAGCTGCTCTTCGGCAGATCCAACACTTAATCCAGATAATGAAGAGAGCGGGCCGACAGAACACCCGTACGGATCTTTTTTGTTTCAGCCTCGAGTCATATTGATAGTGGTCACCACTTACGTTGATAACTTGGCCTCTTCAAGATCACAGCAACACAAACAATGAAGCAACATTTTCACAAAAGAAAAGGGTAAATTACACTGTACCTACACAGGGACACTAAGCAAGGAGGCAAGGTATCTGAATGGAAGCAAATATTCTAAGAATTCCAATACCCCAAAAAATCAGCTTCTTTGAACTGCATGAAAGAGCTGAAACACCAGACTGAGCACAAACACATGCCTCAATTATATCTGAAAATGAAATGAAAATGTTGCTCTGTTCTTTGAGCATCTGCCGTGTGTGTGTGTGTGTGTAAGAGAGGCACATCTGTCTGTGTGATCTGTGTCTACGTGTGTGTTTGGTCATATGCACTAGAACTAAACTTAGGCCTGAGGTGATATTACCGCGTGCTCCAGTAGTTCACACAGACCGAAAGTACAGCTTTGCTTGTGCAACACAGGAGCGGCATGGTGTTGATATTGCTGCCTCACAAAAACAGAGTGGTGAGAGAGAATCACTTCATAACAGCTGCTGCGTTTTTAGTTCTGCAACTGATCCAATTTGTGAGCCGATATCCGGCCGTCAAACTACCAAACGTACCGTAATTGAGATAATATATGATTTTACAGCAGGGAAATGTTTAGTGAAATCCACTGCGTATTAGGAACTTAAAGGGGACCTATTATAAAAAAATTCCACTTCCACGGTGCTTCTACACATTAATCAGTTCATGAATGAGAAATTGGCTCCATAGTTAACCGGTTCTAATTACCGAGTTGGCAACTAGTTTACCTCCTGCCTCGTCAGACATTGATGATCAATCCTGCATCCCTCTCTTCAGTGTTGTGGAATACATTCAGCTATGCATGTTGTGCTTATCTATTATGAAACATGCAGTATAATATTGACATCTTTATGAACGTTAAGCACAGCACGTGTGTTTAAACACGTCATATTGTGGCTGTAATCGTAATAAAGGTGACCTTTCGCTTTCTTGGTTGGGCCGCACGAGACAACAATCGCTGCCTTATTTGCTTTGTTCGATGGTCCATTTCTCTGCATGACACAGGTATCCTCTTATCCCTCACTGGCTTTGGCTCCTTATCAAGCTCAATCATCGGGTGTTTGCTCAGAATAATTGGACAACAAAGACAGAGGTGCTCATGATGACGTGGTTGCTACCAGGAAAATAAACAACAACAGTTAACAATCAAACCCTGTGTTGTGTTCTCGGTGTGTGTGTCTACATGTCACCCCCCCTGTCCCCATGTGAACAGTTGATCTACTGTGTCCGGTGGCTGTGAGTGGACAACAACGGTGCAGAGGTCAACGTCAGACTGGCCTATTGTATCACAACGTCACTAGCACGGTGTCGTGCCGGTTGCTTTTGTTTGGAGATTCACAGGTATTCATTCGTATGTGAGTTGGATTCAAACACAGATGGATTGATTCAGCTAGCACTCTTAATAGGTTGAGTTATTGAGGAGATGACTCACACGTAAAAGCGATAATTCAGAATAAAAACAACAACCCTGGAATGCTGAACGCTTGGCGCAAAGGGCATTGAATGCCACAAGAAGCATAACAACTAAACACACAAGGACATGAGGTCAGTAACAGGTGAAAGCAGAGCCAAACAAGGACATTTGCAAAAAAAAAACGAGGAAGCAGGGTGGAGACACAAAGCAGGAAGTGATCTGCAACAAAAGAGAAGTCAAAAAACAACACAAAACATAAATGAACGCCAAGAAAAGAGTCCAGTCTTCACAAAAAGTCATACTGGGACGTTTGATGTGTGATTAGAATAAAAGGCCTCATGATCAGCCATGGGTGTCTTTTTTCATGAAAACGTACTGCAGGACGAATGGGCTTTTGGTCTACTGCCACTATTGGTGTTTGGGACTAACGAGCTCTGGACACAGTGGGCGATCCCCAAGCCTCCACTGTGTAAAAGCTGTTGTTTAAGCAACGAAACACCTCGGTTAGATTCATGTAATTAAGTACGTCAGCACGTTTCGGTTCTAGGCGGTTGCCAACAGCAGCCCCACGGACGAAAGTCACGTGTCTGTATCATCCTCCTCCATAAGCAGGCGTTGAACAGCAAAAGTACATTAAAGAAGAGTATTTAAAGAATCTAATCATTTACCAATTATCATGTTTGTAGAAGAGACAGAAAAGGTTAAGCGGATTTGGGCCATAGAGTTATCATGTTCCAGCCTGAAGTTGCATTGACACCAAATGGGACGCGCCGCGTGGTCAATTTGCATTGTTCGCGTCACCTGCGCTCGACGTGAAGCAATAGGGGGTGTGGCTTATCACGCAACCATGGATGACATCACGACCTTGTACCAGTTGGTGGAAGTCCTACTGGCATCGGACCACCGGTAGAAAAAAGCATCCGTAGGAGCAGACAGCTTGATGAATGATGAGTCTGCACATGAGGGTAGCCGTTTAGCCAGTTTGATTTCACCGCTTTTGCATCATACGTCCGTGACAACAAGAGGACCATCTCAACGCTGATAAGCAACCGCGCCACAGCGTCACACCATTTTGTTTCACGACTTTTGCTTAATTTGCGCAATTTCGCCTCAAACTCGACATGACATCCCAAACTTACGTCGCTCCAGTCGCATCGTATTCGTACAGAGACCAGTGGCGTGACAAATGTACTCCGCCTTTTGTGTGAATTGGCCTAAGGCTTTCTGGTGACAGTTGAAGCAGTCTTGCAGAAGAGCACCTGCAAAAGGTCAAAGCTCCATGATGATAAAGCTGATCTGACTTTAAATGTTCAGGCAGTCCAAAATAAACAGGATGAGCGATCTGTTTGTTGCAGTGTGTTTGGATGTTTGATGAGTCTTTGGGTTACTCCTTCCGACAATGTCTCTTTCTCTCTCTCTGCAGACTGTCAACACCTGAGCCTCCATTCCAAAACATGCACATGGACACAGATTACCGACGTCAGAGTGCCATCGGAGAGGCGAGAGGGAAAGGAGACGATAAGGTCTCCATTCAATGAACATTATTTTATGATTCAATTTGTGACTTAATTAGGTTTTGTTTAGAAAAAATATTTTTTGCATTTTAATTGATTAATTGAGTTGTTTTGCATTCTGGCATGAGTCCATCCTCAGATGAATTCTAATACGCAACATAATCCAGAAGGAAGATTTGGGTGATAGATAGAAGATAAAGAGGTTATAACAGCAGCATAGACAGTGGTCATCTCCAAACGTGCTCAGTCTATTCTGTCTGTTGGGACTGAAAGCATGAAGTTAATTCAGCAAGGCCAACTGGACAAACTGTAAAACTATAAATCGCTTCCGCGATTTAACATCGAGTTCAGTTCGAGCATTCTAAAAAGTGCCGAGTCCACGCGTTATTCTACAGTGTTCAATCTCGTAAATCTGATATTTTCTGTGGACACAACAAAGGGAAGCCGGAGCAGTCAGAGCATGTGTTTACATAACTTGATAATGTACATGTGAATTCCACTGTTTCACATTATGTCCTTTTTATACCTAGACGTGACTTTATCAACCGGTTATTGCTCCTAACTCGTTAATTACGCAGGACTTTAGCGTCTTAATTTAACAAATTAATTGACGGATCTTGAGTATTAGCAGTAGCATTGCATTTTTTAAAAATATAAATGGTTGCGTCCCCTAAAAAATAAAAATAAATGTGACTGCTTGGACTTCGGAAAAGGTCTTAACCACTGTTAGCATTACTTACTGAAGGTTTCTGCCATCTTCCTTTACGAGCAGTCTAAAATCAGTAGCAAGGCTCTACAATACACTTAATTTAATGGGTACTTTCTCAGTAACGCCTTTATTAGGTGGGTGGCTTGATCTGTGGATGTGTAATGATATAAACTTGCTTGTAAATTTGAATGTGAAAGAGGAACCGGTTTGCAACACAAAGCTAATCCCTTCATGGATGGTAGAATGTCCAGTGTCTTGGAGATGAATGAAGTATTAATCGCCTGTCCGACTGACACATTTTACCCTAATTTCCCAGATATTAGGTCTTATTTTCTTCAGAATTAGTGTTTATGGCAGACAAATAAACCATTAACCATTTAATTAGATACACATGGCTTGAGTTCCAAATCAATTTCAGATTAATGTAAAAAAACGTGAATCAGAGTTTTAGACCTTTACTTCAGTCAGATGACTTCAAGTCACATTATGTGTGTGTGTGTGTGTGTGTGTGTGTGATTCTTCCAATGCGTTGGCTGACTTCTCCCTCGGGTTCTGGCTCATGGTCCTGCTCCTAACAGGAGCTTCTCCGTGACTCACAGCTTACCTCACACCGCTCGCACACGGCATTTCTCTGACGGAGTGCGAGCTAACGTCTAATAAGCTTTCAAAGCTGCAGCACCATACTAGCACCTTGCGAGACAGAGGCCTGCAATTATGCAAAGCGCAAATAAAACACTGGCTATATGCTCCTACGCATAGCCTTGGAGGCAGTTGCCCAACCACTCATCAAAAGGCTTCTCTCCACCAGACCGCGCTTAACACAATATTTGGCTTTCCAGGGTTCTCTGAAAACAACATCGTTCTTGTTAAACCGTTATCAGCCGTAGATATGGTCGACAATTTGAAATTAGCAGGATATCTTGTCTGTGAATGCACTAAGACCTATAAAACACGGAGCTACTAGTCTAAAACCACAGCCGCGTGATAGCCCAGTCTGTGGACAGTACACATGGAAAGTTTACACCCATTTACACCCACACGTCCTTATAGGTAAACAGTGCTGTGTGTAGAGTGGCTATGAACACACATCAGTGCATTTGATAGGCCCTTGCTGCGTTACTACTGGCCCAGTGTCCGTTTACATGGGAGTACTAATGCGTGAGTGAGGCTCATCAGAGAGGTAGATGAGGGTTTGTGGGTGTCGTGCTTTCACACGTAACATGTTCTTGTGACAGCGGTGGAAATGGAGGCATCGTACGTTTCCAAATTAATACGCATCCATGCTCGGAATGTATGTATATCGTATTCATAAGTAACAGCATGACTTGATGTTGTGGATTTTCATCAGTTGCAGAACTAATGTGGCCAATAATTTGTTTTTGAAAAATGTGCGCTTTTTTTCGTCGTTATTATACAATTTACACCTGTTTGATATTTTACACCACGACCTAACTTCAGAATTTAATGACATGCCAAGGGCCATTAGAGAGCTTCAGGCCAAAAAAAGAGAATGCGTGTGTATGTCTCTGTATACTACATATATAGTAACACCCCTTAGATGTCGACTGAACTAACAGAATGAACAAATAATGAATAGAGTACAGCACTATGTCGCCTCTGTCTATTTGCATTCCCCTGCCAAATCCTGATCCATGACTTCATGGTCTTCATAACAACGCATGAGTGGAGCAGCACAGCTACTTACAGAGGAGCATAGGTCATCCGGGAGGGTTTCCCTCTCCTTCCCAGGTATCACTGCCACTGAGGTAAAATCCACAAGATTGCAGACAGATCTCTCGTCGCTGTGATGGACAGAAGACTCGAAGACAAGTATGAAGACAAAAATATTGGACCGGCCTGTCCTCGTCTGCCTGCGACGACTCACCCGCCGTCCTCTACAGCAGAAGCACTGCGAGCTGCCTCGCTGCCAGATGACGGGGAAGACTAAACACAGAGAAAGATACAGAAGTGGATTGCTCAGGAGAGCAGAACTGCTCCAAGGGCTTTATATCAGCCCCCGACTCCTCCCACCCCACCAGGCCCTCCCTTGTTGGTATGGCAACGGCCAATCACCACTCTGCATGGCACAAGCCTCCTCCGCCTCCTCCTCCTCTTTTGACTGGGTTGTCACACACCAGCAAGAATTATGAAATTTCCTCTACGCCTGTGAAAGCATGTATTCAAAAGTGTTAATATGTGTCGGTGGACTGTATGCGTATATACAAATAGTATGTTTGTATGTATGCACTTTTGTGCATTTGTGCATGTATGTATCAGTGATTGCTTGAACAAGGAACAAGGTACTTCTTAATCTGCAACAACGAAGCATTTCTTCATAGGCTAGGATATTTTTTGTCTATGAGTGTTCCCATAGCTCCTATTGTCCAGATTGTCATTGTGTGGTAGTCAAAGGGTCAGAGTTCAAATGCCCTTAGAGGGTGTTTTTTTGCGCGTTCCCTCAAGGCGCGAGTACGACGTACTGTACCTGTCTCTCTGAGTCAGACCTCCAATGCAGAACACATGGGAGATCTCGTGCAGACAGACACACTGTCATACCTAAATCACAGCGGCGGGATTTTTTTGACACATTTCAGACGTTCACACTTATCTTTTATTGGCGTGAGGTGACAGCGAGGGCTGATGTTTGAGCGCCATGATAGGAACGTGAAAGAATGAGCATATTGCATGGATAGTTAGCACAAACAAATGGAACAAAATAGCTGGGTGTTTCATGAAGCAGTGGCCATCGGCCATGCTGGGGCTAATTGTACCTATAAGTTGTACCTATTGTTACTCTTAATAATGTGGTTTCTTATGAAATCCAGCCATCAAGAGCTTCCTTTCTTTCTCACTAGTGTTTCTTCCTCCTTCCTTGGGCCATGATCATTTGATGATCCAACTCAGTGAAAACCTTTTCATTTTCAGTGTGTTAACATTTCGTAGTCATGTTCGGTCTCTATGATGTTGAACTTGGCTTCACTGAAAGGTGAAGCCAATGAGGAAGTGGTGTTAACTTGCAATCTCTCTAATGGCCATCAAGGGGAAACTCCTTTGGTTGCATGTAGACGTCTGATTGTATAATTAAATGTATAGTACAGCATCCATTTAGCAAGCTTCTTCCCATTTAGAGTGAAATTGACCATAATTAAAAGGGGGGGCTTGGCTAACTCGGTATAGAAAGGTCGCTTCGGGCTTCTTTACGTCACTCATCTACTATCCAAATACGATCCCCCTCCGTTTGCGAAATCCAACATGGCAAAACCCCAAATCCAAGATGGCAACAGCGAAAATTCAAGATGGCGATGTCCAAAATGCCTAAACTGAATTTCAAAATGACATTCCGCAAAACGTGACATTGTGACAACTATGTCTTTGTAGTTTTCACCCACAAGCCTGAAACAAAACGGCTCTTTGTGGGTGCTATATTATGTTATTATATTATGAATAAAAGTATGTATAAGATTTACAGTAGAGGCTGTGTTTCCACTAATTAGTAATTTCTCATTGAGATGTTTCATTAAAATAGAAGCAACAGTTTTAAATCCCACTTTTGTCTTCTGACTTCTATTTTCTGTGTCTGTTGCAGAGACGGAGAAAGAGGAAACCGTTTCAAGTCCATCTTGCAGCATGTGAGTAATGAAATATCCCATTCCATTTGAACTAGATCAAGTTACGTAAAGAGTAGTTGTGGTAGGTCACTGAACGCATGCTCAGTAAAGTGATAATTAATGGCAGCACTGGCATGACAATATGACCTATTTTGTAGGAACAGTGATGCAGGTCTTATTGTGGTTCTGTGCGGCTCACACACACACCTACACACACACACACACACACACACACACACACACACACATGCATACAGACTGGAGCGAGAACAGAAAGGGGGAAATAAAGATTATAAAGATTAAGCCGATTAGTTGGCCTGCTACAGAATTAAGAGAAATCTGAGGCACTCATTAGTGCAGCCTACAATGAACATTTTCACTTGTTTCACTTCCTCCTCTTCAGCTTTGTCAACATATTATTTCGGTGATGCTGTTTTCGTTGATGTGCAGATTGATTGTGGGTGTGTGTTTATTTTGCTGTAAAAAAATAAGAAATAACAAAAAAAACATTCTGTTTGGAAATTCGAATTTGTATAAAATAGTATTTTGTATAGAACTCACTCAAAAATCAAGTTGCTAATTAGTTTGTCTGCTGAATCTAATAATTGGAGTCCATTGAGGTCACACGTATGCTTGTTACAGTAGAGATGCTTAATGAGACGAGACCGTCTTATTCACTAATAAACAGGTTGTGTCCTTCACAACAGTTTTTCCAAAAATCATGACGAGCCATCACTGTTTGTCTGGGCTGATCCCTGAGGCCCAAGAAATAACTAAACACTTCAACAAAACCTAAAGCATAGCATCATACATCTTTATCATGTTCTCAATCTGTAATAGTTAATAATAGTATAACATCATAAACAACAATTCACCAAGCATCTGATTTCAACCCTGATTTTTCTGTAGATGTGTGAGTCAAATATTAAGTCGTGGTAAAGGTTTTATGCTCGCTATGACGCTCGTGGTTATTTTTGAAAGAACTGTCAGTATACTATACTATATATAACTGTTAGCTCGGTATTCTGCCTCCACCGAGTAGGTTTTTCGAACTCTGCTATTCACATTTTAAAATGTACAGTATGTATTAAAAATTGGTATTATTTAATGGTAATAAATTGTATTTTGGGGATGATTGCCTCGTTTTGCCTTAATGATTTACATTTTCGGAGTGTGCATTGTCCCCCAGAAGTGAGGCAAGCAGTCCACAGTGTGAATATCTAAACAGATGTCCCCACAAAATACAAAACGAGTATTGCCAGCCCACACACACACGCACATGCACACACACACACACACACACACATACACACACCTACACATCCAAATCACTTGATACAGCACGCTGAAGAGGGAGGCCTGGCCCAGAACATTCTTCAGTGTGATTAGATTGTCCTTGTCCGGTACAGAACAAGTGTCTCTTTCTCTTTCACTCTTAAAAAAAAGAAAGAACACACACTCACACAGTGAGGTAGTGTACACAGCCTTAACACAAATTTGAATCTATCCAGTGAGCTGCTGGCATCAAAGAGGCTTCTTCTATAATAGAGGAGTAAACAGCTCTCATTTCCATCTGAAGCTGGTGCTCCCTGACAGTTACAGGCCCAGGGTAATAACAATCACGTGGCTTCAACCAAGGACATCTGTACAGAACTAACACAGTACCAAAATTGTAATACTCTGGTAATGATTCCTAAACAGCTTCACTGACACCTGGGAAAAGAAATCACTGGAAATTGCATCTATGGAATGCAGAAACTGTTGTCTGCAACGGCCCTGTGATGAGTCATTTTCTACGCTGAAACAGATCCAGCTAATTAGTGTTTCAGAGTTATTGTACAGAGAAGCAGCATGAACCTAACATTACAATATTGCCTCAGGTTGAACATATGGCCGTTTGTTGCCGTTTTAGTATCTGCTTGTCGTTCACATATTAGCATGTTGGCAATAGACATACAAGAGGTGGATTAACATATTTTTTAATTAAAAAATGTATGTAAATGAAAAATCTAACTGAAAAAAGTGAATTTGTGTGTAAATATAACAATTCATTGGCATGTGTATGTATGCACAAATGCTTATGCTTGCATGTGTGTATACATGCATGTATACATACAACTCCACCAAAGCAGCCTCTCTCTCCTCTGTCATCCGTCTCGACTTTGCCGCTGCATTTGAAACCGTGAATCACCAAATCCATATTTCCTCCCTTTGGGAGCTGGGTGTTCAACTAATTAAATGCAGAAATTAAGCAATAAAGATGAATTAAACCTTTTTCACTTTAACCGTGTATTTTATGTTAATTGTGATAATATGAAATTCATGAACAAAGACAAAGGCAGGGTAGACTTGGAAAAAGACGGCAGTGCAATTTGGGGATTTATGTGTGTTCTCACACACTTTGTCACATCATCCGAAGCATTTTTAGGATGCGCTGACGCTCGAGGTCTGTGTCACGTTCAAAGAGAGTCTCTGTCCGGCTTTGGTTGCATTCATAACATAACATAACCAACATAATTGACGTTCTATGAGTTCCGCTGATGTCTGAATGCCTTTCATTGAGTAGCAGCATGGAACAGGGTCTTCCAATCGGCAGCGTATGAGCCTTTCATGGTTTCTATGAGGCTGCGGAGAGAGCAAACACAATCCGCACACAACACACCCACCACCATCACACACCAGGTCACAGACTTCAAGGATCACCGATGCCATCTCCATCGGCAAAATTAGATTTTCCCTGCGGATCGAGCGCCGCAGCGAGAGGTGGAGTGCCGCAGAATGGCTCGGCTCTCAGCAGGAGGATAATTTCACCTCCTGCTGCCTCTCAGCAGTGCTGAGGCCTTTATTCTCTCTCAACAGCTGCACAGCCTCCGATACGGACCAGCAGGGATATTTACGGTAACAGCGTCTCTCTCTCTCTCCTTCATCTGGTATTTGCTTTGGTGAAGTGGCTAAATTGTGTGTTACTCTTTTAACCACTGTGTGTTTATCTCCTGTATTCACTACTTACTGTAAAAAATACCCCATCTAATTGCCAATGATATCATCCAAACAATGTTGGCTGCTTTTCGGATCAGAACAGCTCAGATTACGCAGAATCACAGAATCATGTCACAGCATTTTGTAAATGTTGTGATTAAGACGTGGGAAATGATGATATGTTCAGCATTATTTGGACATATGTGCAGTGACCTCAGAATATGCGTCTCAATTCATGAAGTTTTCGTGCATTTTGCAATTTTGGAGGCATTAGTAGCTATAGAGAAAACTAACTAACAACTGCAAAAGAAACATTTCTGACTGGGAGGAGCAACACGCCTTCTTTGATGACTTGAATACAAGTTTTTGGACAATGTCCAAATATGAAAACCTT